AGGTCAGACCCCGGTCTCTCCCCTCCAGCCTTCGCTCTGTGCCATCCTGCGGCACAGGAGGCGGGCGAAACGGACCTGGGTCTGAGCCAGTCCATGGCAGCTCTGATGCTCTGGTGTTGTGAACCCTGACACAGCCCCAGGCATCACCCCTGCCCCTGCCCCTGCCCCTGCCCCAGGGGGTGCAGCCCCGCTGCTGCAAAGGGGGTTCATAGATGCTCTCAAGACCCCAGGCAGGGCCATGCCCCCGCTGCAGAGGAAGGCAAACACCCCCAGTCCGCACCAGTCTGAGCAGGGGATAAATCCCTTTCTGCCCCCAGTGCAGTGTTGGTCTGAGCCTGAGCGCAGGGGCAAGACCCTCCAGTCAGGACCCTGCGGGTTGGTCCCACAGCAGCATTGGCGCAGCCCCGTTCCCATCCTGGCCTGGGCTGCAGCCGGCCCCCAGTGCCCCTGAAAGAGGTGAAGACTCCCTGACACGGAGCAGGCGTGGCGGAAGGGGCACCCAGCACAGCCTGCAGCCCGGGAGTCCCCGAAGCAGAGCATGGGGAGTTCATCGCAATGCCGAGTTCATCCCTGGCCCGTGGCTGCACAGCCTCTCCTTGACGCCTCCAGTGATGGACAGCCCCCCTTCCCTTGACGCCTGTCCCACTGTCCAGGGAAGTGGTGGACGTGGCAGTGGCCGGCAGGGATCTCCAGAGCTAGGATGCACTGGAGGGTCAGCTGGCCTCAGAGGCAAACCCAGGCTTGTACCCAACCCGGAGAAGGCCTGACACGGGGCAGCTCATACCAGCTCCACCACTGAGGCAGCAAGTGCTGGATTTGACACTGGGCCATCCTGGGGCCCCATTTGCTGCCCTCATCCTCTGGCCACGCAGGTGCCTCAATTGAGCCCCTGCCCCCTGCACATTTCTGCCCATCCTTCAGCCCTTGCATCCTCTGCTGCTTCCAGGAGCCGTGGCTGCACTGCCCGGGCCGGAGGGCCAGCTGCCCGCATCTTCCGCTCAGCCCTGAGAAGAGCTCATCTATCTATGGAGACCAGCTGAGCCGGGCAGGGCTGCCCCCTGGGCACCTGCGTGGCTCCGTGGCCTGGCCACATGCTGCTGTCCAGCCAGGCGGAGCTGCAGGGCCAGTCTGGGACTCCGTGTGAGCCTGGGGACTTTGCTGGTGCATGTCCTCTGTGCCCTGTATCCTGCTCTTTGCAGTGCAGGCCCAGAGCATCCCTCCCTCTTTGCAGCATCTCCCGGTCGCTGCAGACACACTGGCCCTGCAGCAGCTGCCACCAAGGGGAGGGCCACCCTCGTGCCCTGGGTTGCTGGCAGCTGCAAGGCCACAGTGTTGCAGGGCAGGGAGGGCTGGGCCTGGTGACAGCTGCGTGGTGGCTTTGGTCCCATGCTCTGCCATGGGGCTGGGGCAACCTTCCTGCCATCCCAGGGGGGATGCACAGCTGCCACGATTGCAGCCATTGACCCTACTCCAGGCTTGGATGTGCTGGTCACTCGGAGACCCGCTGCCCTGACATCTAATCCATGGATGTTCTCAGGGACCGGAGCCAGTGTGGCGCCCCAGGCAGACCCAGGGAGAGCCTTTGCCCGGGACCCGGTGCGAGGGGGCTGCCCCGCACCTGTGGGTGCCGGCTCCGTGACCTCCCAGCCGAGGCCCGGGCCCCTTGGGGCTTCCAACTGGAGTCCTGCCCGGAGGGCATGAATCAGCTTTTCGCAGCTTGTTAAAAGTCCTGATCCTGCCTCTTGTTTTCGTGCCTTTCAAATCAGGAAATGAGTTTTACAACTTTCCAGTGGGGCACAGCTGGTGGCCAGGGTTGTAAAGCTGAACTTTATAAATATCTCCCGTGGGGACGGGGAAGAGCATTAAAAGGGAGAGCGAAGGACAGAGCAGGAGACAGAGAGAAGTGGGACTTCGCCAGGGCCAGGAAGAACCCATCCGAGCTGCAGCCATGGCCGGGCAAGCGCTGAAGGCCGGGCAGGTCTGGGGCAGGCTCTGCCTGGTGCTGTCTCTGCTCCTCCCGCTCCAGGGCTCCCAGGCCAAGTGCTACTTCCAGGCGAAAGGTAAGGGGATGGGAGTAGAGGTGGAGATGTGGGGCATGGGGAGGCCCCCCCCTTCCCCTGGCAGCAGGTGCTGTGCTCTGCGGGGCCGCGAGGCAATTAAGGGATGTCATTGCGATCCGGTGGGCTGACGAGGGAGAGCGGTGGTCCATGAACTGCCACCAGCTCCCTGGGAAACCGCTACGGTGCTCCCAGCCACCCCGGGCAGGGCAGGGCAGGGCAGGGCAGGGCAGGTCTCTCGTGCTCTTGGCACGGTCCTGGCTGCTGGGTACAGCCCGGGGCTGCCGGTGCCTCGGTGGCAGCACCCGCACCTGTCCCTGCACCAGGCCCGGGGCTCCTTCAGCAACAGCTGCCGCATGGTCCTACCTGTCACGGAGCCTGGGCTGGGGCTGGGGCTGGGGTGGCACCCAGGCCCCTGGAGCTGTTCCTGGCTGCCCCGGCCCCCATGTCCCACGACAGAGGCGGGCGTCCTGGGGCACTGCCTCATCGCTGCCTTTCCCCTCCCAGCTGCCTGCCAGTACGAGGGGAAGCAGTTCAGCCTGGGGGAGTCGTGGCTCAGCACCAACTGCCTGCTCTGCACCTGCCTGCACCCTGTCGGCGTGGGCTGCTGCGAGATGTGAGTGGGTCGGGTGCTGGTCTGTGGGACACAGTAACAGGGCGAGAGGAGCACCTGGGTGCGGGCCCTGCAGATGTGCTGCCAATGCAGGATGAGCAGCTGGTACAGATGGGTTGGGCTGTGAGGCAGCCCCAGGGGCTGTGGGGTGGGGAAGCAGCTTCAGGTAACTCGCTGGTCAGCCTGGCCTGGGAGCCCATGCCCCCACAGCGCGGGGTGACGGCCTGTCCCTTGTCTCCCTGCAGCACCCAGCACCCCATCGACTTCCCCGACTGGTGCGAGGCCCACTACGATGCCCAGACCTGCCAGATCTCCGTGGTGCAGAAAGCCAACCCCGGCCTGCCCTGCGTCAACAGCCTGGAGCGCGAGTGGGGCTCGGCCGGCACCCCTGAACCCGCGCTCAACAAGGTGCTGGAGACGGGGCTGAGCCGGTAGAGGCCCGGCAGCCCCGTGCCGCCTGCACACCCACTGCATGTGCCAGACCTGCACCACCGCCACGTAGATCCTCCACTGCAGCCACCTCCCAGGGAAACCACTATCCGGGTCCGCGCCCACGGCCTAGCGCTGCCTTGGCATGGCTTTGCTTCTGCTTCAGCTTCCCGAGCCCACCAGGCCCGTCCTGCCCGCAGCACAGCTCCCTCTCCAAGGGCAGCCCCAGCTCTGATCGGGGGGCTCCGGGCACCCCACTCCTCCTACCCATGTGCAGAAGCCCCTGGCTGGGGGAAGCCATGTGGAGGCCGGGCCAGGAGAGTGGGGGCTCTTGCCTGACCAGAGATGGGCACAGCAAGGGCAGTGTGCCTCACAAAGCAGGGAGGGGATGATGGCACCATGCTAGTGTCCAGGTGGGAATGGACAGGTAGCCCCCAGCCCGGCTCGGTGGGAGCAGCTTCTGGGTATAGGGGAAGGAGGTCGATTCTTTCCAGCCTGATCTACGGCTCCAAATGTGCACGGCCCCCAGGCAGCCTCCTGCCCCTGTGCCCTGGGCTCCTGTGTCCAGACCCCTTGCCTGCCCCATTGGCAGGGCACACCCCACCAGTGAGACCTGCAGCATGTCCTGGGGCCACCCTGCCCTGCACTGCGCTCCCCAGAAGCTCCTTCCACCCTCAGAACCATTACAGCCCCTGCCTCAGCCCACGAGCGGAGGAGCTTACCTGCCTCGCACCTGGGCCCCGGGGGGAGCCAAACCAGGAGGCAGCCACGTGCTGGGTGCCCTGGGGCAACTGCAGCCGCAGGCCAGGCCTTCCATGGGGTGTCCCTGCCTTGTGCCGTGAGAGGGGGCCACAGTGCCCTGCTGGGCTGAAGCGACCGAGGCGCTGGTGCGGAGCGGGCTGTGCGGCACCCTGCCCGGCCAGCGCCAAGCCTGTGTTGTGCAGAGCCTGTGTAGATGTTCTGTTCTCGCAATAAACGTATCACAGTCCACCTGGGCTCTGCCTGTCTGCCTGGGGATGTGTACGGGGGAGACAACAGGACACCAGCCGAGTCCCTCCACACCACGCTGCCCCCACCCCCCCACACTCTGGGCTTTGAAAGGCCTGTGGGATAGCAAGGAGCTGCCTGCATCCAGGCCCAGCGCAGAACAGGGGCACAGGGCAGGGGCTTGGGGCACAGTGAGGGCTGTTTGGGGCCCCCCTGGTGCAAAGCCCAGGGCAGGATTGGGGATGCTAGAGGCTGTGGGTCAGGCACTCAGCTGTTTATTGATTCACACACAAACAGACTCTTGGGAAGGGCTTGTGGGGGAAGGGGCCAGGGACCGGGCTGGGAAGGCCCTGGCCCATGCAGTCCTGCTTGGTGTCAGCTCTGTGTGTGCAGTGCCAGGGCCTTGGACCTGCCCTCCAGCCCAGGGGATGTGAGGTCCAGCACAGATTTCTCTGGCCTGGCCCTGGTGGGAAACGGGAGCCCAGGTCACAGGCAGAGTGGGTGGAGCTGGAGCAGACCAGGGCTCGCAGCTCGGAGCAGACTGCATGGGGCTGGAAAGGCAGCCAGCACACAAGCCTGGTGACAGGCAGTGCCTAAGAGAGCCCCACTCTTCCTTTTCCTGCTTTGCGCCAGGGGCACAATGTTGGGAGGGGTCGGGGCACCTCACCGATTTGCCCAGCTCTCTCCAGCAAAGCCCCCGTGCAGGTGAAAGGAGCGGGAGATGGGTCACCAACCCAAGAGCCCACGGCTCAGGGAAGCCCAGCCAGGCACGGGCCGGCTGCTGGGGACAAGCCGTAGAGCCAGCATGCAGCCTGCACGTCAGCGCTGCAGTCCCTCCCGCAGTCCCTCCCCTCCTCACACAGGGGCAATGAGAGTCCTGCAGGACACTGGGGAGGATGCGCAGGGCCCAGGCCAAGCCTCTCGTCAGATGGTGGTGGAGTTGGTGCTGGAGAAGGGGGACACATAGGAGGCCAGGACAGGGTTAGTGGGCAGAACCTTGATGGGCAGGTCCCAGCTGAAGGTGTCCACGTCGATCTGCTCCACGCCGCTCCAGGTGACCGTCTCCGACTGGTTCTCACGCACCAGGTGAGTCTCCACCGGCTCCCGCGATGTCACAAACTCAAAGTGCAGCCTCCACTTCAGAGACACTGGGCAGAGTGGGGAGAGGGCTCAGAGGTTGCCAGCACGAGGGCACTGGGCAGCAGCTACAGGAGCACTGGGGTAGGGCGGCAGCACCCGGCTGCAAGAGCCCAGCCACAGTTCCGGGATGGCATTACGCCCACCTGCCCACCCACCCAGGGGCTCCCTCCTGGTGGCCGGCCCGGGCAGGCACTCACCGATGTTGGTGCTGAACCCTGGCGTGGAGCCCAGCGGGATGGGCAGGCTGAAGCTGCTGCGCGACGTGTGCAGGCAGGACTCCTGGTGGCGGGCGTGAGTGCCGAAGGAGACAGGCTGCCCGCGCCGGCGCTGGAACTCCTCCTGGATGCTCTCCTCTGTCTGCAGACTCACCGAGTACTGTGGGTCATGGCGCACATGAGGGGTCAAGGGTGATGCCGAGCTGGGTGGCCCATCCACCAGTATGGTAAAGGGACATGATCCCCTGTGGTGACACCCCCTCACCCCACCCCTGACCAAACCCAGAGGCCCCTCCACTGAATGGGAAGCCCGTGGATATCTGTGCTCCCCCTACACGCACCCATGGGCCAGCTAAGGGGCTGTCTGCATTCCTGGCCTTGGCCAGGGAGAGGGTGGGGCTGGGAGCAGGGGCTGCACTGACCTGCAGACAGGGGATGTCCCCTTCCGAGAAGTTGAACGTCCCAATGACATCTTCCCCGATCTTATAGACTGTCTTGAAGATGCAGAACTTCCCCACCTTCCCACGGGTGTTGCTGATGCTATACAGGTCTGTGGAAAGAGGGAATGGCTCAGTAAGCTCAGGCTGCAGCCATGAGATGGTTCCTCCCTTCTTAGAGAGCCCAGGGCACTGGGGCAGCACAGTGGATCAGTGGCAGGCAGCTGTACTGAGCCACCCATCCCTTCCCCAGTACCCAAGTTTTCAGAGACCCACAGATGAGGGCTGGCAGGGACCTCACAGGAGTCATCCAGTCCACTCTCCTGTTCCTAGCAGCACCATCCCCAACTACATCATCCCAGCCAAGGCTTCATCTTAAAAACCTCCAAGGAGGAAATTCCCCCACCTCTCTAGGGAGCCTGTTCCAGTGATTCACTACCCTCCTTGTGAGTTTTTCCTAATATATAACTTGAGCCCATTGCTCCTTGTTCTGCCATCTGCCCCCACTGAGAACAGCCCAGCTCCATCCTCTTTGCAACCTCCCTGCAGGGAGCTGAAGGCTGCTATCAAATCCCTGCCTCAATCTTCTCTTCTGCAGACTAAATCAGCCCATTTCCCCCTGCGTCTCCTCACCAGTCATGTCCCCCAGCCCACACAACCATTTTTGTTGTCCTTCGCTGGACTCTCTCCAGTGTTCACATCCTTTCTGTAGTGCGGGATCCACAACTGGACACGACTCCAGATGTGGCCTTCCCAGTGCTAAATAGAGGGGAAGAATCACTGCCCTCAATCTGCTGCGATGCCCCTACCAACGCAGCCCAGGATGCCGGTAGCCTTCTTGGCAACAAGGGCACACGTTGGCTCCTGTTCAGCTTCTTATCCACTCTAACTCACAGGTCCTTTTCTGCGGAACAGAGCTCCCAGCATAGGATTTTTCCCTCCCAAGTGCAGGAATTTGCACTTCTTCTTATTGAACCTCATGACATTTCTTTTGGCCCAATTCTCCAATTTACTGAGGTCTCTCTGAATCCTAGCCCTACCCTCCAGTGCATCTACTCCCCGCTGCTTGGGGTCATCTGCAAACTTGCTGAGGGCATGCGCTCCATCCCATCTTCCAGCTACCCACCCACTGGGACTCCTTAGTGGCTTTCTAAAGGGAGAGGAAGGTGTGGGTATTGGATCTAGCAAAAAATGCGCTGCCATCTGCTGAAACATGTACTTTGCGTGTCAGCTGGAGCTGGGGACCAGCTGGCTGAAGGAGGACAAGTCTGGGGCTGGTTGGCTGGAGAGAGCAGGATGCTCCCAGCTGCTCATGCCCTTGACTGGGTGGGGCAGCTCCCCCCCCGGCTGCTGTGAACCCTGGGGTTCCTGTACTGGTGGGTAAGCAGGACTGCCAGAGCAGCCTCTATGCTCTGGTGGCCAGGATGGGGCAGGAGACATGAGCAGGGCCTGTGGCAGAAGTGGGAGGACAGTAGGGTCAGGCAGGGAACAACCTACGCAGGCTACGCCGAGAGGTGGCTGCCATCAGCAGCTCTGTGGCCAGGTCTGCCAGCCGAGGGTCCTTCTTCATCCCCTCCTCCTCCTCCAAGAATGGGTTCGAGGGGGCGACAGCTTCATCCTGGGGGAACTGGTAATCCTTGAGCCCTGGGGGAGGGAGGGAGGGAGTCAGTGCCATGGCAGTGGGTGGCTGCGGGGAGGATGCCGCCTGCAGCAGGCCCTACCGTGCAGCACCAGGACCCGGAAGGGCACACGCAGCAGCTTGATGGGGGAGTTGACGCGCTGGCAGCCGACCGTCAGCTTGTACGCGTACTTCACCGACTGCCCCCGGAAGGAAGGCGGCCCATCCACTGGCAGCACCTCGCAGTAGGAGTCTGCAATGAGAAGGGTGGGCTCACCTCAGCTGGGCAGTGGGTCCCTGGAGCAGAGAATCCCAAGAGGGGAGCAGTGTCAATGACTGCCTGGGGGCAGGGCTGCTTTTCCCTGGTGCACACCACAAAGCGGCTCTTGTCAAAGGCCAAGGACCCAACCCGGCCCGCTGTCAGCACCGTAGCACTCCTGGTCCACCCAGAGATAGATCACACAGAAGCGCTGCCCTTCCCAGGCTTCCCTGATGATCTTCCTACTTAGGGAATTAGCGGGAGTCATAGCGGAGCTGCTGGCACTCGTGGCGCTCAGGACAGGTCTCGGAGAAGTGGAAAAGGGCCAATGTGGCCCTCTGAGAAGGGGAGGAAGGAGGAACCGGGTGTGGCAGGCCAGTAGGGGGCGCTCCTGCGTTGAGCCGCCCACCCCCTGTGCCCGACCACCTTCCCAGCTCCGAGTGCCTCCCTGGGGCGCCTCGTGTCCGGCCGACCCCCTTCCTGGAGCAGACTC